ACTGTAAGCGATTTTCTTGATCACTGAGGTAAAAACCAGAATATTTCCTTATACACAATTTCTTCGCTAGGCAAAATAAGAAATAAATTTGTAAGAGTACTTCCCAAGTGTTTTTCCAAAAGCTCTAAGAACAAAATTGACGAAAATGGCCTAATCCAAGTTCAAATTCTAAAACTTGAACATTAAAGATAAGTATATTACTGTAAAACAAGTAAAACCCCTTTGTTGACTAAATGGTTGAATAATTCATTACTTACGTGAAGGTAGAATAGGGACTAAAGTTTAGCAGAAAAAGCCACTAGAAAAGGTGAACAAAACAGACTGGGGCATATGAACGACAAGCAAATATTGTAAATGCAAATAATGTGTACTGTGATTAAATAAAAGTGTACAAGGAATAAAGTTTTAATATTTTCTTATCCATATATATGAGTGATATTTATTTTTAATACTAGAAAAACGGTTATGGTTTTGTTGCTAGTCTCAAAAAAAAACTAAGTGAGTATTGATGTTAAATATTTATTATTATAAGAACTTATATACAGTATGTTCATAATATGCACTATACAAACTTAAATATCATATTCCTGAATTCATTTCAAGCATAAAATGTCCTATGAACAAATATCCAATTCTACATGGTTACCAAGCTACAAGAGTTTAAATATCAAAAAATATATTAACATAGTATGCCATGTGTTGGAATATGTCGAAACGCAGCACTGAATGTTTGGTGCCTTGGAACTTGTCGGTATGGAAATTGTCACTGATACTCCATACAAGCAGCTCGCGAATATTCATGACAAAATCATTAAAGGTACACTATTTTGGCATATTATTAATTTAAATTTATCATAAAAAGGAAACGTAGTTGACAAGTGTAGTACTGAGTAACCAACTGACGTTTATAATTATTGTTGATAAAAAACCAAAAGTTTTGAAAATGTGATATTTAAGTTTGTATAATGCGTCTTGCAACATTTTTTTTAATAAATGCCCCAAGTAAAGAAACATTTACGATTATTACAATCTAATCATTAAAATCAATTAGAAATTTTATTCTAACTTATCAAGGGATGAAAAACTTCACAAATTGATATTCTACTATCTAGTATACCTTAGAGTCTAAATCACTTAACTGCACTATACTATGCTTTAACATCACTGAACTAACTCAAAAGGCTTGGTCTCTTGAGTCTTCTTATTAGATTTGGCATTGTTGAGGAGCTGGATAATCTCGAGGTTTCCATGCTGGAACAGTTGTTGTTGGTGACTACAAATTTTTGTATTGTATTTTCAACAGTCTCCACTTTAAGGTCCCTATGAAGATCAGTATTGTGGCAGTACCAGGGTGCATTGACGATGTTCCTTAATGCTTTATTCTGGAACCGTTGAATAACTTTGATGTCACTTTTCTGGCACATCCCCAAAGTTGGCGAATCGCTTCATTTTCACCAATTCCTTTAAACGCACTAATCTGAAACAAATTATAGGTAATTAAAAAGGTATATTAATATTGTTTTAAATTAACTATAATAAAACAAACAATACTCATACATACACAAAACATGAAGCTCTACTTTTCAATCAGCTGTAGAACTAATAAATAAAATTGGTGGCAGGCCAGCAAATGTAGGTTATATTTAAATAGAAATAAGAATATAAAATGCCTATAAATTAAATGGCGTACGAATAATGTACTTCTCAAGAAAATGCTTGAAACATATACTGCTGAATTTAGAAGGTTACCAATTATACTTGTTGACAAACTGTATCCACGCGTTACGTTTTATAGGATTTTTTGGAAATCTATAAATATTATTTCGTATGAAAAAGTATTATTCCAATATAGGTAGGCCCAAAAGTTGATAGATGATTTTTTTTGCATTTTTAAAAGCATACTTTTACACATTTTATACAAACCTGTCATAATACTGTCCTGTATAATATTTATAATTTTGATACTAACCTATGAAACGTTATTCCAGTCGATTTTTCACAAAAACGTCTATCGCTAGAGCAGGAACGTATAACACAGCAAGGCATTATATACTTTATAAGTTTGTAACACTCAAAATTTGCTCAAACACAAATTAAATTCAAATTTATTTATACAAATGACACTAAAAATATAACCTATAAAATTTGACAATTTGCACTCACAGTAATGGCGGACCGGTCCCACTTTTCGCTTACGCATGTCGTATCCCTAGGTTGCCAGATCAATGGGTCAAAGTTTATTGCTAAAGAATCAGTTAGCTCACTCGGACCAGTTGAAAGTTCCAAAATAACATCCACTCCAGGGATACAAATTCAGGATACGCAGAAGACTACTGTTTTATTATAGGCGGTTGTCATATATTGTATTATCCGAGTTGCACAGTGTATAAACTGAAACATTGAGATCCAAAGTGCCGACGCAGAGTGAGCGATCTGATTCTTTAGCTGTAAACTGTGTCACAGGGTTCAAAATGGCCGCGCCCTAAGTTGGGCGTGTCGGACCCACATACTTTTGCTGCGTTTGAGAATCCACATCGGATGCATCTGAGATGTAAAAAATCTTTGATCACGTGATTCAGTATACGTAAATGTAATGGGACAGATGTGTCCGATGTGGATAAAAAAACGCTCGAGATGTAAAAAATGCATCCGATGTGGATTCTCAAACGCGGCATTTAATTACTATACGAGGCAAGAGAGAGGTCCGACACGCCCAACATAGGGCGCGGCCACAGCTAAATAATCAGATCGCTCACTCTGCGTCGGCACTTTGGATCTCAATGTTTTAGTTTATACACTTGCCGCGTTTGAGAATCCACATCGGATGCATCTGAGATGTGAATTTTTTATCACGTGATAGAGAATTAGATCTGAATGTAGATGTAATAAACAAACGCTCTAGACTTTATTTGGTCACGTGATAAAATGTCAATGACAAGTTAGAAGTTGATACTTATTAAATTTGACTTTTGAGACTACAAATCAACCTAAAATTGAAATATAAACAAAAATTAAACAAAATAATCACTTTTATATTGATAACAAAGGATAAATTGACAAACAAGACTTCACAGAACACTTACTTTCTGGCATGGAACGAACATCTCATTTCAAATCGAGATGTAAAAAATGTAATCTGAACAGGTACATCTGGGATAAACAAACGCAGATGTAGATGTAGTAGATGTGTCCGATGTGAATAAAAAAACGCTCGAGATGTAAAAAATGCATCCGATGTGGATTCTCAAACGCGGCAACTGTGCAACTCGGATAATACAATATATGACAACCGCCTATAATAAAACAGCAGTGTTCTGCGTATCCTGAATTTGTATCCCTGGAGTGGATGTTATTTTGGAACTTTTAACTGGTCCGAGTGAGCTAACTGATTCTTTAGCAATAAACTGTGACTTCAAAAATAATATATTCACTGACATTGACAGCAGCAAGCAAAATATCAGGTGCGTTTTAATCATCCGCTTCTGCTTCCGGAATTGTAGGTTTAGTCGTTTTAACCTGTCACATTAAAACCGACAATTCCGAAGCAGAAGCGGATGATTAAAACGAACCTATTAAAAATATTGCGCCAAGATGTAGGCAACACGTAATAAGGGTTCAAAATGGCGGAGTTTTCTATCTCCTTTTAAAAGGCACTCAGAAAGCTGCGCAGTGCAACCATTCTCCGTATAGTAAAAGAAAATCAAAGTATGTGGTCGGACCTCTCTCTTGCCTCGTATAGTAATCAAAGTATGTGGTTTTGACCAATGAACTGGAGTGGGGTAGAATGTGTGTCAATAGGCATGTGATGCACATACTTTGATTTTCTTTTATGTGATGCGACTCTATGGGCAAAGACAGGTTATTTTTCATCTCACTCGGGAGTATTTATAACAAACATTTTCTATTTCACTTTGTTATTGTCTGATCCACCAGCGTGTGGATTGAACAATAACAATGTGAAACAGAAAATGGTTATTATAAATACTCTCGAGTGAGATGAGAAATAAAAATGGCTGCGCCCATAGAGTCGCATCTTGTTCTATTGATACAATATGCACATTAGCTTTCTACCCACTGATCTGTATTATTTTCAGATCAGTGTTTCTACCCCACTCCAGTTCATTGGTTTTGACGGGTTATGATATGGCAACATTATGGCAACCCTGTAGGCCTGGTGATTTGACAAGATCAATGAAATAGGTAGTTACATAGATTGATCATCCATATTTTTCAAAATAAACATAAGCTTATGCCTTAAAGTAAAAATATAAGCAATTATTTTTTTAAATAACTAAAGGTTAAAAATTGGTTTTAAAACACATTTTTGCTAAACCGATTCAAATTAATAAATATTTACCAGACAATATGGCCGCTTGTAAACGACCAGCTTTGAGCAATCTATATAACTATATATGTATCATTGACCCTGTTAATGACAACATGACAACAGGGTTGCCATATCTAAACTGTCATTACCCACTGGTAGCCATTTGGACAGGTCGTTGGAATGCCTAATTGGGCTAAGCCACATACTTTGATGGCTAAGCCATTTTACATTCGTCTGCATAGGGAGCGATGTTGCAATTTTTTAAATTTAGTGTCTATTCCGTCTGTTCAGATTGCAGCATCTTATGGGCCCTACATTTTTAAATCTTATCACAAGAATCCTGAAATAATTAGGCAAAAATAAAAGAATGTATTTTGCGTTTTAACTTTTAAATACTATAAAAAATGATGGAAAGTCCATAACTTTTAAATATTTGTTAAATATCACTTATTAAAATATTATGCATTAAAAGTAAAACAAACCATAGACTTTCCATCATTCTTTAAAGTTTTTTGAACCCATTTATGAAAACAGTTTTTGAAAATATTATCGTTCAGAGCTGTATTTCTTGTGATAAAAAAGTCGCCGTCACTTGTCATTGACAACGCGTTGAACTTGGCCTTAAGGTTTTCATCTCTTCTCAAACCGTCAAAGTCAGAGTTAGCATTTGTTTTCTGTTCCGTCAAAGTTCAAAATTTAAAATTTGGCCAGTTCGTTGTTTCATGAGTACCGAATTCAAATATTTAGGTTCTTTAACTCATTAATTTATAAATATGAATAGTATGATGAATCTAAAACACATCGATGCTATTCCTTTGCCATACAGAGTAGTTTTTTCCGAGTTTATATGTTTTAATCGTATGCAATCTCAAGTGTTGGATGCCATTTTGCATTCAGGTAAATATTTATATCAAATACTTAACAATTTTTTTAATTGCTTTGCTAACTTTTTTGTTTTATTTATTAGATGAGTCTCTAGTTATATCAGCACCTACGGGTTCTGGCAAAACGGTTGTTTTTGAATTAGGAATTATTAAATTGCTTTTGGAATGCGGAAGTAGTTTTCCAGATTTTAAAATCGTTTATAGTAAGTAAAGTTTAGTAGGGGAGGTAAAGGCACTTTTTATGTTTATTTCGTTTATATATATATTTTTTCAGTTTCACCAATAAAATCTCTGTGTCACGAACGGCTCGTAGATTGGGTCAAAAAATTTTCTCGATTCGGTATTAATTGCGTTTGCGTAACAGGCGATTCCGATAATATAGATTATCACCAACTGATCAATCACAATTTGATTATTTCTACGCCAGAAAAATGGGACAGCTTGACCCGAAAATGGAGAGATAACGAAACGTTCGTAAAAGAGGTGAAATTATTTATGATCGACGAGGTTCATTTACTCAATGACGACGACAGAGGTTCGACCTTGGAAGTTATTGTAAGTTTATTTCGAAAATACTGGTCAAATTGGATTTGCAAGTGGTCAATAATTATTATTCATTCATATAACCCATGCGAGGATATGAATAATATACCTATATATACAGGGTTACTAGGTTTTTGAAAGAGATGAGGAACAGACAGGGCATTTTAGGGGAAATAGGGGGAAGTAAAAACAACTCTTCTAATTTCTTTTTTTTAATCAAAATTACTTATTTTGTAAAAAATCCGTACCTAAGTTTTGGTAAAAGATGGACTGAGGTGTACATGTTTCTGACTTTGGATTTCGATTTGCGATTTCTCGATTTTCTAACTTTACGTTTTCACCTTATTATTTATAAAAACACCTCAGTGTATCTCTTTACCAAAATTAGGTAAGGATTTCTTGCAAAATAAGTAATTTTGATTAAAAAGATGAAAATAGAGTTGTGTTTACTTCCCCCTATTTCTCCTAAAATGCTTTGTCTGTCCGTCATCTCTTTCAAAAACCTGGTAACCCTGTAGATAAATATATATGTATGTAAAATAATAGCTATTTATGAAACTAGTTACGAAATGTCCTATTTTGTAACGGAGTGAATATTTGCGGGACGAGCAGGAGCGAGGTCCCGCAACATGAACGATCTACATAAAATGGCATTTCGAAACGCGTTACATACAATATTTTTTCTAATTTTGACTAGATTATTTAAACAATTTATGTTTTGGTAAGAAATTACTGGCATTTAGGCAACCAATATTACTAAGTAAGTACTTTCTTTTATTATTAGTTGCATATATGCATCATTTTATTGACAAATAGACCATAATATTAATTATTTATTTCAACGACTTTTAGTGTGTTTATATGGCTTTATTAAAATTATTTAATTTTCAAAAAGTAGGTTATTTTGTCCTGTATTAATAAGGAAAATAAAGAACAAAACAACATTATTACTATATAGGTTGAGGTTTAACCAAATTCTATTTTTATAAGTCAGCATGCCCTTCCTTGATATAAACTTCGAATAATATAATGAATAGTATTGGTTTTGAAACCAAAAAAAGGTTTATTTTTGTTTTCTTTTTCAACCTGCCCTTCGATCTTTGGTATAATAATTTCAATAATAAGTATAAAGAATATTATTAGTTTTAAAACCAAAAAGGTCTATTTTATGTTTTCTTTTCGCAACTAGTGACAATGAATTTTTCGAAACCATTTTCATAATGTTCAACATTATGCAACTGGTTGCGCAAAGTAGATCATTTTGACAAAAAATGTCACTATTATTTGTCAAAATTAAAAAAAAAATTGTCTGGTTTTTCTGTTTTTAAATAATTTCCCGACGTTTAGGTTAGTAGAATGAAAACCGTTCAAAATTCTATGGCCAGAAACGTTTGCCAGATTCGTTTTATGGCAGTTTCAGCGACCATCGGTAACATCGAAGATATCGCAGAATGGTTAGAATACAGCAAAGTTTTTCAGTAAGCCCGAGTACATCCCCATACAATAGACATAGCAATATAAAATTTAACACTTTTTAGATTTCCAAATGAAATGCGACCCGTACAATTAAAAACATTGGTGTTGGGTTATCCCAGCCAGAATGCCTCATCTCCCTTTAAGTTTGATCTGTCTCTCAATTACAGACTTCAAAATTTGATTATACAACACTCTGAAGGACAACCCACATTGGTATTGAACAATTTCGACGACTTTCTTTTGGATTTTAATTTTTTTTTATTTTGCGATTCGTAGATATTCTGTAGCACGAGGAAAAGCGTTGAAATGACGGCCAGACATTTGATTCAAACGCTCAAAATCCAAATCAGCCCCAATCAATGCCAAAAACTCGTTACTATTTGCGATACCATCTCCGACATTAAAATCAAAGAATCTATAAAGCATGGCATTGGAATTCATCACGCAGGTAAATGTTGTGAATTAACAGGTTTTTAAAAAATCTACGGGTGATAGGCCAGGTGATCTAGCGGGTCGTGGAAATTAAGCGATTATTCAACTAATCTGGCTAATTTGTAAAACTTACTATATTGGAATTACATTGTTGTAGGTATGAGCGTAGATATTCGCCATACGGTGGAAACGGCGTTTCGAGAAGGACATCTGCCGATTTTGGTGGCGACCAGCACATTGGCGATGGGCGTGAACTTGCCCGCCCATTTGGTGATCATCAAGTCGACGAAATACTACAGCAACGGCAGCTATCAAGACTACTCGTCGACGGCTATTCACCAAATGATCGGTCGGGCTGGTCGGCCGCAATTCGATACTAGCGCTACCGCTTTGATTTTGACCACCAACGAAAGCAAGGTAAGAATTGATTATATTTTAGAACGAACAAATGTATTAAATTCTTTGCAATCTCAAAAAAAAAAATCAAAAATTACCCTTAAGAAATAAAGAAAATTCATTTTTTTGAACGCTCAAAGTAAAAATAAATTTAATGAAAAATTTAAAAAATCATGTTTACGGGGGCATTAGAATCCACATAAGGTATTCGTGTTCTACGTGCCCTGTTTTAAACATTCAGCCATATGAACATGAATCACCGACATCCAAATTTTGTTAATTTGAATATAAGATATCGAACCAAAATCTCGGTGTCGGAAAATTTCGAATTTTTCAACAATTTACTATAATCAACATCGTCTAGGAAAACATGCATTCAAAAATAAAGGTAGTAAATTCTTTGGAAGTACCCAAATAAATTAAAAAATTTCCCCTACGAAATAATGAAAATTTAAAATTATTTTCCTTTTTAATGAAAATTATTTTTAAACAAATTTAATGAAAAATTTAAAAAACTGGCTACGGATGTTTCGGACCCACCTATTCGTGTTCTACGCATACTGCTTTAACCATTCAGCCATTTCCTGTAGAATTTAAAAGTTTGAGTTATATTTCGGTCTGAAAATACACCGTTTACAGATTTAGAGTATAGAGTTCGTCTTCTTCCACTATAACAACTCATCCTGCATACTGCGCCACATTCTAAGCTTCTTTTATATTCATGAAACTCATTGAGGGGCAAAAGGCGTTGAGTGGATGTTTCGAGAACTGAGTAAATGCAGCCGCGGCACGTGGTTTAATACTTTTTGAATGTACCCTTTCAATTTAAGAGTGCACATATGCACTTATAGAGGAACCACCGCTAAGTAGATAGCGTCGTGGGTTGTTGAGTAGGTTTTTGCAGCTATTTTATAAATTTTATGTTCTGAAACTTCATCTTTTGTTTTCTTACCATTTTTACTGCAGTTATTTTTCGTACATTTTTTTTTAAGAAAAAAATCGAAAGACAACTTAATTCGAACGAACCAGTGGAGTCGAACCTTCACAAACATCTTACCGAACATTTGAATGCCGAAGTCGTGTTGGGTACTATCACCGGACTGGACGTAGCCATGCACTGGTTAGCATCTACCTTTTTGTACATAAGAGCTAGGAAAAACCCCAAACATTACGGCTTACCGCAGACCTGCAGGCAGGATCAGTTAGATAAGAAATTGATGGGTGAGTAAAACTATTTGTTTATGGAAGTAAGTGTCAAATCTGGTCCACTAGCGGGTGTCTTTCGTTGTAAACCAAAAGTGGAAATTTTATTTATATTGGGAAATAAGTTATAATTTCTTTTTTCAAAGGACCACGCACTTTTCTTATGCAAACGGGAGTACCGTCAAAATGTCTGAATTTTTGATATGTTAAATAACTTGATGTCCCCATCAAAAGTGTCCATGGGCCCAATCGTATCCTATGACTAGATTTTGAGATACAGGGTGTTGAAGTTAGAAATCCCTAATTCTTTAAAATGGACACCCTAAATCACCCTTAAATCTTTTTGGAAGTTTTTTGCTTATTCTGTGTAGTCAAAATACATACTTAATTACTATAATTAAAATATTGTACCTTACAGGGTGAATAATAATTCGGCAAATCTTTTTTGGCCAAAGTAGGTATTCCCACCGAACAAAAATAGCTAAAATACCGAAAAAAAAAAAAAAAAAAATATCACCGTCAAAGTCTCTCAATATTTGATATCGTATAGTACTCGATGTACTCGTTCAAAATTCTTATTGGTAAAATTAGATCCTATGAGTAGTTTTCCAAATATAACTTAATATGTACCAAATATATGAATTTTAAACAATAAATATATACTGACAAAACAGATATTTTCAAGAGAAATATCTTATATTAAATATTTTGATATACTGTTTTAGATTAAGAATATACCCCTTGTACTATTTTCAAAGAGACAAAAAAATCGTACTTACAGGGTGGTTGCAGTTGAATATGTAAAAGGAAAAAATCAACAAAATGCTGAAATTGTTGGCAAAAAATAGAAAATAATTGCCTTTTAACTTGCGAGTTGTTCATTAAAAAAATCTTATTAGTTTACATACATTATTGCATTACAAAAAAAGTTCATTATACGGTAGGTATAAGTAGGATCTAGGGAAATGAATAATGATCGGATTAAATGTTTATTTTGACTGGAGCATTGCCTCTTTATATTGTATATTTATATCAGATTGGGATCTCCTTTCCTTGTAAAGTGTTAGCCCCTGTAGGAATAGTGCACTGCTTGTATAATAGGGCAGGTCAAAAATTACCAAAAAAACATTAATTTAGGCTATTGTGAAAAAATTGTGTTTTATGTGGTTTACACCCTATATAAAAATTAGTGAAAAAATAAAATATTTAGTTGGGACCTTAGGGGCGAGAAATTAAAAAACTAAAAAAATTCAGCTTTGTGCAGCTCTTCGCTTGATTTAAAACTCAAGGGGTTTAGGGCAGCTACAAGATAATAAAACCGGTTTTGAATGTTAAATCAACCCAGAACTCACCACGAGGCGGTGGCCGCACTTAGAGTTCCACCCACCCACCCATTTCTCCATTTATCTCAATATATCTTACTTATTTATATAAAGAGATCATTACATTTTTGGCAAGTCTTTTTTGGCATCAAGTTTAGCACTATGTACGTAGAATTTTCACAACACCCAATTCTCTTTTTTGGCATTGTTATTAATGTTCTCATAACTTGGAAAAATATAACAATAATAGCAATTACAAAGGACAACTGAATTTATTACAAACACTAAAGATATAAATTCAGATACTTTGTAAGGTATATAAGAAAACAAAAGTCAAATATTAAAATAAAAGAACAGCCTGAACTAAAGATAAACGACCAAATGACTGACGTAACTGAACCAAGACGTTAACGTTAAGTATTAGGTGCAAATACGAGATGGTAATACCAATTAATTTTCTTCTACTATGGGACCGAGATCGATATTTTCTGGAAATAATCGGTCTGCTGCATCATCGATACTATTTAGTAAACGTGTTGTTGGAAATCTTATATTATTCTGGTGCCTTGCATAACCAAGAAACCATAACACTGATGCAACATGTGCGCAAGTACTTAAAGTTCTCGAACCGCATGGCCATGTACAATAATAGTAGAAAATTGGATCAATATTTTCATTAAGTTCCTCGCCGTATGCCAACCACAGCATATATTTAGTTGCGTTTCTGAACCTAGAATAAATTCTAAAACGTAAAAAATTATTCTCTTCTCTAAACTCGTCTATTTCTAAAACATTATTTTCCTCTCTTTGCAGTTTATCTTGAATATATGATGGACTTAAATAAATATGGTAAGAACCTACCAAGTCTTTTAGGAAATTGATCTCTACGCGAGGAAATTCAGGAATATGCATGTGGTTCAATCTTCGCCACCGACCATTTCTGGTAGTCAGATTTTGGGCTTCGACGCGTGCTTGTATAATATTAACGTCATCTAGTTTGTTTAAAATTTCAACTGCTATGTCCATTGTACCTGGTAGGTTTATAAGAGGATGAAACTTATTTAACAACGCACCTGCAATCTGATAGAAACCACTCAAAATAACTGCATGATGCGTGGATATGCGGCCTTTAAAAAAATTTAAAAATGGATTTAAAATGTCCATTTCTGGCTTCTACAACCTAACGAGTTTTAGTTATTAGTCTCGCTCTATTAGCTTCACTTGTTGATAATTGCCGTTGGTTTTGATGAAGCAAAGGTGGCATATAAGTAATTAACCCAAGTTCTTCTAATCTAGGAATAACATCTCTGTAGCCTCTATCTACTATTACTATATCTCCTTCTGTAATCCAGTTTCTAAATTCATTATTACCATTAACCAATTGTTGCCGTAAGATTGCTGCATCAGAAAAATAGAGACCATTGATTGATAAAATATATCCGTCAGGAGCTACTGTAATTTCTGGCTTAACTAAATGTTCCTTCTTAAAATAGCAATAGGACTGACGTAATATTCTAAAATTACTACTTTTTTCAATTGAGTTATATGTACAATCGACATAAAATATGGCCTTTGGAATATTTGCTATAGGGTTGTAAAGCCCGTTTACGAATTTAGGGACATGATTTATTATATAGTTTTCTCTGGTTATTGATCTAAATCCAATATTACTAGGTACAAATCTTTAAAGCAGGGACATACGGACATTAGATATGACTATACTAGTGACTTGTCGGGATGAATAATTAAAAAGTAATTTTATGAACTCATCTGACAATCCATGTCTTAGTTTAACAAGGAAAGCAAGTAAATCTTTTTGAGCAATGCTTCTTTAGTTACCATATTGTTCTATTGGTTCACAAAATTCATATAATTCTTGAAAATTCTCTTTAGAAATTGAAGTTAGATATTTAAATTCTTCTAAACTAAAAGTATTTATGTCTTCCCAATTTTTTAAATTATTATTAACATTAGCAGCCGCTCTTAAACTAGACAAAAATTGCTGAATATTAACGTGGAGGAATGGTCTATAAACAAAACGCAAACCAGCATGTAAATTAATCATTGGTAAACCCGAATGATTTAGATGAATGTCACAAATCTTCAGATATTCGGGTACATAAATATTTGAGACTAAAAAAATATTTGCTCTGCATACTGCCGATAGTTTTCTTACATTTACTTGTGCGTTACAAATTATACAACCACGAACTGAGTGGGGTGTTAAAACATTAAGTCTTAGGCAATTTGGATCATTTTCAATATTTCTAAGTTCCTGTGTAATTGCGTGATAACAGTTTAAACATAATCTTACTTCTTGTAGATTATCGACTGCAGGGTGTCCGGCAGCTTGTCTTCTAAAATTAGCAATGTTAAGCACATCTATATTATTGTCCTCGTCTAAACGAATAGTGAGTCGAAGTTGAAAGTGTCTATTGCAAATATAACAGCTAATCCTATTTGCAAACGCCATATTTGCAACAATATTTATTTAAAACACTAATACAGAACGGTCTAATGCTCGCTTAAAGTAATACAAACGTCATTTATTATAAAAGTCAACAATATGTTCAATTATTCGGAAAATATTTAATCATAGCCTTCTAGATCAATATATATAAATCAAGTGTAAGCATGTTTATACAGGGTGTTAAAAAAAAGTGTCACAAAATGAAATGGTGAATAGTATGACCCAAAATTAGCAGAAAAGTCTTAATAAATATATGACCGCAAATTAACGGTTTCGGAGATACGGACCATTTTGTGTTTATAACAATTTTTTATTATTGTAAAAAAACAATGATATTTATAAACAATCAATAACAACATAGAGTTAAATGAGATGTTCAAAGTGCCCTCTCTCCATTTCAATGCCTTGCCATTTGCACGACCGTACATAAAATGCATGTCAGGCTAATTCAATATTAGTGTAAACAGGCATAACGAAAATTTATAAAATTATTCACCCACAACAAAATAATAACTGCAAATAGTATCTATGAAAAAACATCGGTAGACTCCGATAAGAAAAGCAAGTTTTTGAGAATGAAAAAAGATAATCAAAAAATGATACAAAACACAAAACACTCCGTATCTCTGAAACCATTCATTTGCGGACATATGTTTATTAAGACTTTTTTGCATATTTTGGCCCATACTACCCCCCGTTTTATTTTGTGACACTTTTTTTAACACCCTGTATATATACTATAAGGTTGTTGGCATATTCACCACTATTTAGAATTTACTAATAAAATCTATCAATCGTCTATAACTCATAGGTTACAAAATATACAGGGTAATCAATTTTTGTGAAAATCTTCGGAAAAATTATGTATTATCATAGTAGATATAAAAAAGCAAAACTTCAGGCATGCAGACAGTCTTTAGCTTTATATTTTATCATTACGAGTATCCAGGGCGATTCTTAACACGGTATCAGAGCCAAGTCGATTTAAAATGCCTTGGTTGTGTCGATTACAACAAGCTTAACGTCTGAAGTGAAAAATTACGGAGTTACAGGATGTTAAAGATTATCTATATTTCCAAGTTTAAATCATTAAATACTTAACAAAACGACTTGCATGCCTTTGTATAATGAAAATATAAAAACAGGCAGGTTATTCGAAAATTACGAATATTTTATTACCCTATATTCATATCATATTGTTTTGAGAAGCCCTTGAAAAATCAAGA